TATTCCGAAAATATTTCCCTATATTTATCCCACCCAACATGCAATTTTAAAGTAAAATTAATTCACATAACGATGATTAATTAAAAAAAAAAATGCAAACTTCTCGCAAGAAAATAGCTATTCGTTAAAATGAGAGAAATTCGTAAATTTAGATAATATGCAAATAGGAATTTATTATTCTCTTTTCTACGCACCTTTATGACAGTACGTCACTGGTAGACCGGAAACACTTGTCGCCATATTCGTCTAGTTCACTGTCAAAATTAGATACCATCGCGTTTCCAAAGTCGTTTAGGATTCCTCCTTCCTGACTATTTATATTCAAAGGTTTTCATCCTACTATCCGGAGGTGCGAATTTCGAAATTTTGGCACTAGTTTATTAAAGTAACTAACTTTTTATAATATTTTAAGTAAAATTAAGTATAGAAAATTATTTTGTGTTCGATATTTTAATTTAGATTATAATTAAATACAATATTTTGACCATTTAACCTAACTTTTATCATTATTTCCTTCCACAAAACATAAAACAAAATAATTTATGGATTTGTCTATCGGTCCTTGAGTTTCCAACGTTGCCACGTTGTTGAATTTAAAATCACTGTGTATGATGTCCAAGTTTGAATTTAGGGTGAGATTACAAAACGTCTGCAACTTTGCAGATCTGCAAATACGGCGAATATTGATTGTGGTTTATTACCCCCAACAACACTAAACCCAAATTTGGGATACGAAAACTTGATACTTGCATGTGTAAGTCAGTCATATTTGCAGATCTGCAAAGTTGCAGACGTTCTGTAATCTCACCCTTAATAGCAATAATTGTGTTGTCAGTTGTGGATTGAAATATGTATTATTGTCTCTATAACTAATAATAAAAATAATTAAAATTAAAAGTATCCTTGATGTTGTGGACGTTTATAAAAAACGGAAAAGAATTACTAAGGACCGATTCCACCGTTGTGTTAAACGAAGTTTAAAATGACATTTTTACATTAACAATGTCATTTTAATCTCCGTTTAACACAACGATGGAATCGACCCTAACATAGTTGGTGAACGCGCGCTGTTTTTCCATCTACACCATAAGAGCATCATACTACGATTGCTATAAGTCTTTTTCTTTGCGTCGAAAGTGTAGCACTGATCTCTACACCACTTCTGAAAATATCGTTCCATTTATACAAATTGTATGAATGAAACGATATTTTCAGAAGTGGTTTAGCTCATTGGTACACTTTCGATGCAACGGAAAAGACCTTATGTTGTCGGTTTGTCCCACTCATCTCCTAACTACTGCAGAAGACATAAAACAATAGGTTCTTTCGTTCGTCCTACTGGTGTAGGAATGAACTACACCAACGAACACTATACCCTATTATACCCTATTACACTATACCTTTCGTTTGGCCCGGTAAAAAATCCACTACACCTTCCTGTCGGCGATGTGGTCCACTGGGAGCTATTTTCAAAGTATGGGAGCACTCACTTATCTCAAGATTCTCATCAGAAATGTCATATGTCACTGTGGAAACGCTGTTTTTAAAGGCATCGATGATTAAAATTCTTAGGAGAATTTTAATTATCTCTAAATAAACCGAGAAAAACAGTCAGTGAGTTCACACTGGCCCTAAGAGTCCTAAAAATACTGTTTTACGTTGACGTATGACATTTCTCTTGAGAGAAATGAATTCTCTCGAGTTTGAAAATAGTCCCCCTGATGGATATTTCCTCCACCAGCTATTTAACAGGAGTGAATTACACTCGACATGTTTATAAGAAATAAGAGAAAGTAAACTAAGGACCGATTCCACCGTTGTGTTAAACGGAGATTAAAATGACATTGTTAGTGTAAAAATGTAATTTTAAACTCGCTCTATTCTACAGCGTATAGTAAGTGGTTGGGTTAGCGTACTGTGCTCATATGGTGTTAATGTAAAAACGCGCCCGGCCGACGTCTCCAAATTTGCGCGAATTTCGAAACGTCGGCCGGGCGCGTTCGCTCCTTTCTGTAGTGATTAGTAAGTAGGTGGGTTAGCGTACTCTGTTTTTATGGTGTATGTATACAAAGGGCGCGTTCGATTCGCTCGCTCTCTTCTGTAGTGGTTAGTAAGTGAGTGAATTAGCGTGCTATACTCTTATGGTATAGGTGTAAAAAGTGTTTAGATAACATAGGCATACTGCCCACTACTTACCTATTTATTTACGCCTATAATTTTCAGATGCAATTATCTTTCTAGGTCAAAATGATCTTTTGAATATCTGAAATGCTTATTTTAAAAATAAAAAATGTTAAACGTCGTAATTTAAAAAAAAACAAAAGTAAATTAAACTAATTCAGCTATCATCTTTAGTTGATAAGTCCTTAAATTTGGCTGGCTGGCGTCATTTGCCAAACAAATAAATTCCCTTGTTTCAAAAACGTATAAAAACTTTTAGATAACACAAAGTAATTGTGCTTAAAAGTTTTCGAAAAGCACATTGATTATTACTTTATATATGATGTAATATTAATATTCAATTATTATGTACTACAACAATTTAATCAAAATAGTCGGATGTGGCTGGAAATAAATTAATAGAAGTATTGCTTTTTAAAGTGTTAGTACTCTCTTTCCAAAGCCCAAAATGTAAGTTTTGTAAAAAAAAAAAAGGATTTTTCTACGATCACTATCAAAAGTAGGCTTTTACGCTTCGAAATTCAACCGCAAAGTTGACGTTTTCCGCGAAATAACATCAAGTGTCAGATTTGTCGCTCGTCGAGCGACAACATTGACAGCTTTGTTGCTCGCCTAATTTAAATTCGGTAAATATATTGATATATCTTTTTAATAAATGTTTTTCGAGTTATTTGTACGCAAGTTACATGTTTTTTTGTTACATTATCCAAGTTAACATTGTCTTTGAATATCAACTGCTATTTTCATGATGAATGTAGATGTAGGCAACACTACTTACGAAAAATTTTCAGTTTTTATATATATTTCTTAAAATAATGTGATCGTAGAAAAAATATTGTCGTTGCTTCTTTCTGTCTCAAGCGGCTTTTTAATACACAAATAGCTATTTTAAGAAAAGGGCGTCTTCCCAATATCTACAGAAATTTAATTTTTACATTTTATGTATGATTATTATCGTAAGTAAACCATAAATATATGATTTTTGATCACTTCAATTTTTTATAATCTGGCAATTTATAGATTATAAAATAATCTTGAAACTTATAATTTCATGAACAACCTGGCAACGTTGTTATTTTTAAGACAATCTGTCACTTAGAATGAATATTTTGTGAATATAACCTGCAAAATTGAGTTTTTTGATTAATTATTTTCGAAAAATGCCGATTCATAGAAACTAGTGCCTTTTGAGTGTAATTTTTTTTGTGAAATTCGCACCTCCGGATAGTAGGATGGACCCGCTTAGTATCAGCATGAGCAATATAGATTTCGTGAATTTGTTCATTATCATATTGATGAACTTTCTAAATGATAAACCGATTTACAGATTAAACATATTTATTTACCTTTATTGCTTAGCAGTAGATTCTAGGTAAAGAATTAAATAACTTCATGAATTTGACACTGAAACTACTGGGTAAATGAAGTAAATTAGTAAATGTTTATATTTTGTTCCACAAAAGTTGTTTTGGCGATTTTGGATTGTTGATGGTGCACCTGTCAATTTTCTTCTTTTCTTAACGCAGTGTTGCCAGGCCTTGTCAACCGAAAATCGGTAGAATTATCGAGAAAAATCGGTAATCTCAGCAAAAAACGGTAGATTTTCAAAAATCAACTGAAATTTGTAGAAAACAAAGTTTTTAATACTAAAAAGTAAAAAAAAATTCTAAAACACACATTAACTAACATTAAAAATAAATTTTTATCGTAGGAAATAAAAAACAATATTTTTAAAAGAAAAAACCTAAATAATAATAAAGGGACATTTTTTTAAACAAAATTTTAATATTAGAAACTGTAAAACTATCGAATTAGGAATTATCTTTTACTTTCTAAAATTCCCTATTTATAACTTCGTTACTTGTGATTCCCGATACCCGATTGCTAGTGTATTTCCCCATAGTAAGTGTTGTTCGTCCGCGCCTAAGAAAAAAGTTGAATTGAGCCTTAAGAAAGTTTGTCAAAAAATACAAAATATATATAGGTACTTTTTTGGTACAAAATGCAATGTTAAGTGAATGTTTGTATAATCAAAAATTATTTGAAAAATCGGTAGAATGCCTAAAAAATCGGTATATCGGTAGTTTTTATAGATTAATATCAAAATCGGTAGATCTACCGATTAATCGGTAGCAATGGCATCACTGTCTTAACGCCTTTTACTGCTGTGTATCCAGTCATAATTAGCGTGAAAATTAAAAAATGTTCTAGAGCGGTAAATTCAAACATGGATTCAGTAATAAATCAGTTTCTGTACAAATTTATAGAAGGAACAAAAACTATTTCCTCAATGTTTATAAGCACCTCATAAGACTAGCAGAAGTGAATTAACTCGAAGGTGGTGCAATTTACACTGGTGCACATTGCGCCAACAGCGAACGAAAGAACTTATAATGTGGGGGAGGGCCCTTGTCAGTGTTTTGCCCCGGAGCCCCAGCATTGCTTTCGGTGGCCCTGTATATGACAACAAATCAAGAAACATTTATATTCTAAATATGAATGACTTTTTTTTATTTTGACTTCAGAAGACGTAAAAGACAGGTTACTTTAAAATAATTTTTATTAACTACTTTTATATAGGTATACTTGTTTGTATGTCGCAGGTTTCTCTCGCCAACAAGACTAAAGTAATTACATTTAAAATTCTTACATACAGACGGTTTACAAATGCATTTAAAACAACTTTTTAATTGAATGTATTATAATACTATAATAATAATCATATAAAATATAATATAGTGACTATTACAATATATACAAAATAACAATTTTATATTTAAATAAATTTGACAAAAACATTAACAAATTATTAAAATAAGCTTCCTATATCATCTATATTTTGATACTGCGCTCTTTATGGATTACTAGAGTTAAACAGTTATTTTAAACAGATAGAACAGGGGCGTAACTTGTCAGATTCAATTAAGTACTTGAAACGATTTTAGTAATTTTTTTTTATAATTAATCTATTTAGTATCTGACAAATATAATGCCATGCGGATAATCGGATAGGATGGAATTGAATCATTGGCAGTTATTTTAGATATTTCGTTCATATAACTGTCATATATGATAGCTTTTAGTTCTATATCGGGCATTTCACAAGTTAAAGTGATTTTCCATTTGTGTTGTTCCCATTTAAATTTAATAAGCACACATACACACCAAACTAAACTGACATGCTCTATTACAAGTTTAGCAGTATCTAAACTTACAACTTCAAACCTATCATGTTTGATGAGATCGATTGACGGGAAAATTACCAATGAATGTTCATGTTTAAAGTGATTTTCAAATTCGTATAATTTGAAATGACAAAAACATGCGTCAATGGGACATTTCTGTAAAATTTGATTTTTACAATTTCTTTCATGTTTATATAACTCCAGATAGTTTAAATGTGTTCCGCATCCCCAGTTGCAAAAATATAAAACGTTTTCTAAATCTTTTATTAAAAAACCACGCTTAGGAGTAAGCCTAGTCATATTACCATTAAAATTGCTCAAGGAACATGGTATACACGCCATGATATAACAATCATTGTTCATTCCAAGCAAAAACAAATCCTTTTTATTTATTTTAAAGGTTGAGGGATAAATTAATGCACAATCGCAACTGAATCTAATTTTGAATTTTTCACCTGATTTTGTAAACTTGAGCGTTGAATTTTCACCACCTAACAAATCTGAAACAATTGTTCTTAAGTTTTCATTCGGGAGAACAGTACGTTTTCGGAAAAAAAGTTTTTTTAAATCTTCTCCTGTCACATGTCCCACCTGTACATGAAAATCAGAATTATTTTGGGGAGTGTTGCAGTGCATCATATTAACTAATGCACTTTTTGGTTCAAGGATATTTAAATAAAACATTACCAGTAACTTTGATTCATTTGTAACATTTAAATTTATGTGAAACGTCATTGAGCTGGAAAAAATCATTTTGCTTGAACTCTGACCACTGATATTCGACCCAAAATGATGAAAGTCTACTTTGCAACTTTTAATATAACCCGTTTCTCCCAAATGTTGAATGGTTAAAGAAAACTTTCTCATATCATCAACAATTGATTTGGAGATATCACTGAAGTTTACAAAAAACAAATAATTTTCTAATTGGTACAAAAAATGTTTTTTTATGTTGTTTATGTCTTCCAATTGAAAATGGGTTGTTTCTAAAATCGAATGAGGGTGATTAAGTTTAAAATGGCGAATTATTAAAAAAGTAAAAATTTCTTCAGAACAAATAGGGCAGAAGTACTTTTTCGATATGCAAGTTTTTTCATGTTCGATTACTTCCGATGACTGTAATAATTGAGTACAGCCATCAAACCTGTTTACGCACTTGAAAAGAATTCTTGTAGCAATTTGATTATACATGGAGTATACCCCAATATCCGTGTTGTTTTCGTTGTTTGTTGAACATCTCCCACACTTTATTCTTCTATTTGGATACACTTTGATTGGAATTACTGATAAAAATTTATGACAGTAATCACATACTTGTCGATTCAAGACGTAATCCGAGATAATAAGGTTGTATTTTGGGTTCATCTAAAATGAAAAAAATTCTCAAAAAAAAAATAATAGTAAACAGTTTTAAAAAATTTCAAAAAAATCTTCCTATATTTTTGAGGGCTTCATTAGGAATAAAAGCCGTATGTCTGATCAATATCAATATTTGATATGAGTTTCTTTTCATTTTATTTTCAATAATATATCTTGTCCATATATGTCTAGAAATATACAGGCTTCATATCTTTTTGAAAATGTGTTATTTAAATAAAATAAAAAATAAATATTTTACGTGTCAATGTTAAAAGTATAAAAAAAGGTATAGATACAGAAAATACAGTTACAATTTAGAAAAATATATAGATACCCATAACATAAAAAAACATACTTAAGGTAGTTCACTCGCGACATTCATACATAAAAATATCGCTTAATGGTGAATACCAATAGGGACCGTGCGACAAGACTTTAACGCTAACTGGTGAAAAAAATTTGAACTTTATGGGGGGTATTTATTAATATTTTATATGGCATTTATTGTTTAATAATTATTAATTATTAATTAAATAAAGTCGAATTATTTTCGTAATATCATTATCGAAAAAACTTGTTGCATCCGTGGATGTACGAACACATTACTTTGGAAACTTAGATTTCATTCAATAGTAAAGAAATTTTATAAATTTTCACAGAGCAGAATTAAGTGTCTCACGCCCAATGATATACATAATTACATTACATAGATTGCTTATCCATATGTAAATCAGATGACGAAAAGCGTATTTCACTGGACACAGTTTTTTTTATCTAGCTTTGTATCAATTTTGAGCACTTGAGCATTTACAGAACCGGTTTAGAAATTAGAGTCTTTAGTGTTTTATTGTCATTAAGATTTTTACATATTTAAATGAACATTTTATATAAATATAATTTTACAGATAATTAATGGTTTATTCTGTTGATTAAAACTAATGTAGAATGTTACTATGAAATAAGTATGTCCAATTTGACAAAAATATCATAGCCCTCTTTACAATTTATTAACTATTTCTCATTTATTACTAAAATAAACAAATCATAAATAATACGTACATTGCAAGTACTATCAAAAGAGACTGCAACAGACTTTAAAATATTAAAAATCCAGTAATTTTTGTAAATTTTTTTAGTGACATTACCATTAAATATTATTCAGAATAATAGATGTGTCCAATTACAACTCTTACCAAAGTTGTTTATATCTCATATCAAAGTTGTTTACATTTCCTTTTCAAAATTGTATTACATATTGCAATTATGTATTTTATGTAGTGTAATTTCTGAAATGAGAGTAGTCTAAAATTATTTAAATCCATCTATTTTAAAAATTGTTTAGATCTCTTAATATTATTTAACTACATGGAAACTCAACTTTCCAAATACATAATAACGTGTCTTGAAGTAAAACTTTAATTATTTTCTTTTTCTAAAGATTAAAATACTGAAATTTTATATTAAAACACATTTGGGCTAGAACGGCTCTATTTTAGTGAGCACTAGGAAAGGCACATTGCAACCCGCGTTTCGTAATTTTTTTATAGATGGGTGAGCAATCTATAATATGTATATCATTGGGCGTCTCATAAACGTCAGTGGATGAATGACATTTCGACTAACATAAATCTAAAAAGAATTATTATTCCCAATCTTTTTTATTAATTTACATTTTTTAAATGTTATTGTAATACTTTTAAATTCAGTGTTACTAAATACCGATATTTTGACATTGGATACACTTGTTTAAGGTACAACTTTACAATTTATTGTCAATTAGCCATATAAATCTTTTTGCTTAAAATGTATATACATGTCCAGATTTTAATAATGTTTTACATTTTATATCATTTTGACCATGTACCCGATTGTTTGGTACGGGCCGGTATCTATATTTAACTATATTTAATATTTTAAAAAATATTCTTTATTATTTACTTGCAATGTTTACCCCATTTAATTCTAAAATTAAACAATAGAGAGGGCTAACTTCGGCAGTAGTGCTGCCTCTATATTTCACGCACGGTCCCTATATTTCGAGATTCTCAATGCTAATCAATTTTATTTTTGTAAGAGACTGTACAAAACACATGTAAGCCTATATACCTATATATATGGATTTTAATAAAATCCATCCGGCAACCTCATAAATACATGAATGGTTTGCTATAGAAATTTGTGACTTCCTCATATTACTTTTAAGGGTTTGTTTTGGTTCAAACAAAACCGCTGATTCCAGTTCTCAAATACAGTGGACGAATTAATTTTTGAAGAAAACGTCGCGAGGTTATAACATCCTCTTAGCTGATCGAGTGTTATGTTGGTACAAAGCGTTGATTGCAGCGTATACAACGTTGCCAAGTTGTAATAATTTTACGGAACTACGCGTCGATTGCTTTAAAAATATTTTTATTTTAAAAATCTATATCTTTTTACTAAGACGGTCAAAAATTCAGCGTTTTTTTAGAAAATTTTATAACTTCTTGTTTTACATTACATTAGTTTTTAAAAAATATGGTAAGAACCGTTTTCGATATATCTTGAAATAAATGCATTACTTGTGTACATGAGAGGCTTCAAGAGTGTTAATTATGCACATTTTGATTGTTAATATCTCGTTTCACAGACGGTCAAAAAATTTAATTTTTTTTTTATTTACATAAAAGACACTTTCATTAACCTTATATTTCAATTTTATTGAATTCTTAAGAAAAGCCGTTTTACGAGTGAACTACCTTAAAAGATAAAAATTAAAAAGGTATATTCACCAAAAAGGTTTACACATTACTCACATGCACAGATAAGAATTCGTCAATGGAATAAAAGCAGTGACTCGACAAAAATTTGCGAATTCTTATTTTAAATATATTAAAAGATGAGTTTATATAAGCTTGAGGTAGGGAATGGAACAATTTAATGCTGATATGTCTATAAGAATTATGAAGTTTGGTTAATCTGCAAGATATATCATAATTTCCTCTGGTGCAATAAGAATGTTTAGAGCTTCTGTTTTATAACAATATTATTACCAATTTGTTTTTTCATGTATAAAAGACACTCTAAAATAAAACATGGTAGTAATAAAATACCCAACTGTTTAAAAATAGGTTTGGCAGTGACTATTGTAGCTACTCGATGTCATGATACGTACTATTTTTTTGTGCAATAAATATCTTAAGTTGGTTGCTTGTATTTCCCCAAAGTATAACCCCATACGCCATTATGCTATTAAATAATGAAAAGTAGACCATTTTTAAATGTACAATGTCTAATTGAAATTTTAGCTGTCTAAATACATAAGTAGCTTTTGCTAAACGACTTAGTAACTTTGAATGTGATATTTTGAAATCTAGTTTCGGGTCTAAATATATTCCTAAAAGTTTAACCTGTTCCTCACTTTTAGCAATAATAGAAAATGAGTTTTTGCTTCGTTTAATATAAGACTATTAGTACCAAACCAATTATTACACATAACTTCTGCTTCATTTAGCTTTTCTATTGTATCAGATTTATTTTATCTGTAGCAATATTGAATCATCAGCATAATACACCTGTATGATATTACTTAGATTAATTGACAAATCATTAAAGTAAATGATAAAAAAGTAAGGGTCCGAGAACAGAACCCTGTGGAACTCCATACAGTACTGAATTCATGCCCGAAGTTTGCCCATCAATTTAAACATATTGAGTTCTTTTTTGCAAATAAGAGGTAATAAGCTGTAATGGTGTTCCTGTAACTCCGTATCACTCTAATTTAATAATAAAAGTGTAGCGACATACTTGCAATACATATCTTCTTCATTTTCATTACGTCATACACATTAAATTGCCGTCATCATTTAGATAACCTTTCGTGGCAGTTCTAGCAAAGACAAAAGGTTTAACTCATCGCGAGGGAAACAAAATATTGTTTATAATAATTATGACTTTAGAATTTACAATTTATATATACATGTCATGACATACAATTATTTTAAAATTATATTTTCATGAATTCGTATTTATTTATTGATGGGATATACTCCATATAAATATCCCACAAAAAGGTCATGTTGAACCGTATCGAACGCTCTCGTAAGATCTTAAAATTTGGCAGTACTATGTGAACGATCCTCAAAACTATCCATAACAGCTTCATAGAGATCACATATGGCATTAATTGTTGATTTGTTTGCCCTGTAACCGAATTGATTTTGGCTTAGCAACTTGTTGCTTTCAAAAAAATTCATAATTTATTGTTTTAACAATAGAGAATTATTGCAAGTTCACTTAAGGCATTTCTTTATAACCTTACTACAACATACTTGGTTACAGTATTGTGGTTAACTGGTTACTGTGGTGACATTACGCATACCATGGTTTCCCTATTATTGAATGTCATATGTCAAATTTAATTTAAGTTTGGGGATTTCTAAACGAAATTTGTATTTTAGAAATTTTAGGATGTTTTGACTTTGTTATTTTTTATTATAGTATGTTCTAGTAAGCTTATAAATAAATGTCTCGTTAGATGTAGCTACATATGCTTTGGTAACATGTAACCAAAGCAGAGTAACCGTACGTTATAAAGAAATGCTCTGGTTACAGAAGTATGTTCTGGTAAGCTTATAAATAAAGAAATGCCTTATAGGTCAGTCACTATTAGTGCCGCTCTTATTTTGACATCTAAGCATGCGCAGATCACTAACTTTAATAAAGATTGTGTCTGTCCTTAATAGAGAGATATTACAAATTTATATAAAGCCAGCCACTAATAGTGACATCGTAATTAGAGTCAAATAAATTTCATGCTAAAATCAAACTTATTGCAAATCTGAAATTTTGAATTAGAATCCTCGTCCTTATACTTATTTCTAACCTTATTAGGTTATGTTGCAGTTGAAGGGTTTGGAAATGGGCCAGTGCGCACCATTCCTGTTCCGGCTAGTTCTGCCAGTCGGAATCGTTACGGAGTTGCCAGGTTATATTTAATTATTTGGAACCAGGGAAATAAGCAGATTGAA